CATTGTTTTCTTAACCACAAATGATTTATTGACCAGGAGTGAATATTTGAAAAATTACATACACGTTGTACCTCATAGTGCTTAGTCTTTTCCTGACAAAAGATAAGCATTCTCTAACAATCCCTTTTTATTCATTCATTTATTAATAATTAACTGAACATCTTCAATGTTATAAGTCCTAAGCCTATGGCAAAGAACTAGATACACAAGGTCCCTGTTGCCACGGAAATTACATTCAAGAAGGGTGGGCACAGATAATGATCAGATACACAAGGTAATTTCAGATACTGATAAACGTCTTGATGAAAGTAAGGCAGGAAACATTTTCCAAAATTATAAATATCTGTAGTTTACTCATATAGTAGCATAACTATTTGGGGCTTGTTACAAGAAATAGAAATCTCTATCTTCTTCTTCCCCCATTCTCAAAGCAGTTACTGATTAGCTTGACATTTAAGCAGAGATGTGAGATGATTAAAAAAAGGCACCCAAGTAAGATCTACGTGAAGAGCTTTCTAGATACTGGGGATGGCAAGTCCAGAGATCCTCACAGGACTAAGGTCCTCCGTGTTGCTGAAGCACGGGACCATGGGAAAAGGTCCTGGAGAGGGTGTGGCTATCTTTTCTAAAGTTTACTGTAGCTTCTGTGATTGGAATGGATTGTGGGTGTGGAGAGTGCCGAGTGATAGTAAAGAGATGAACTAGGAAGAGACAGACGCTGGTGGCTTGGACGAGGGTGTTGGTAGTAACAAACTTCAGTGCATAGAACTAATGACAGGTTGTGTATAAGGGCTAAAAGAATTATTCCAAGTTTGGGACAACAGGGCGAGACGAAGTCTAGGGAACTGTTGCTCAGGCTGCTCAGCATTTAAATCCCTTTTTTATTTTCATAGAATTTACCTTCGCGCAAGTTTCAGAGAAACAATGCTGGCTAACTGCTCTCAGTCTCCTGGAAGCTGGGGCACAATCTGATGCTTCTGTCAGGATGTTTGTCATATCTGAGCCTTACTGAATTCAAAGCAAACATGGGGCAGGGAAAAGAGAAAAGAGCATTCCTCTTAGTACCAAATTCCTCAGGTCAGTAAGACTCAAATTAGGACTTAAACATAAAACAACTTTATCACTGTCCAAGTAGCTAAAATTTGATGTTCTTAAATTATAAAATCCTAAGCCTCAAAATCATTCTTTGGTCTGGAATTAAATTCTTTCCAGGAACCATATCACTCCCAAATCTGTTTCTTTAGGGTCCCTGATATAAAGCTATGCAATCTGAAAATTTCCAAAGACAATTACAGTGTGGGACTTTGCTTAGATATATACAAAGTCTTCTTGCATTCTTATTCTTACAGTGACTCTAGGGGCACCATCACCAGGTACAGAAGCATTAGTACTTAAAGAGTTAATAAGGAATTTATAAGGCATTTCCATAACCACTGTATTTATAACAGCAGCATCCACTGCAAGGAACTCATTTAAAAAACACAGTGGAGTCATGTCAGTCTTATCTGATAGCAACTCCATTCTTCAGTTGCTCAGGACTTATTCCTTTCGCTCACAGTCCACTGGCAGATTTCTTTGGCTCCTACTTCAAAATGTATTGAAAATACAATCACTCCTAACCACCTGATTGTCTCCTTGCTGGTCTGAACCACCATCATTCTTGCCTGGATTACTGCAAAGCTGGATGCTAGAAGATAATAGAGAAATGTCTTCAAAGTTCTAAGGAAAATGAGTTTGAACCTAGGATAAATCCAATCAAAGTGAAGTATGGAAAAGAAATAAAGACCTTGTCAGACATGCAAGGACTCAAAGTTTATCTCCCATGTGCTTGATTTTGGGAAGTGCTGCGGCAGAGGGCTACTTATAAATATACTTCAGCAAACAAATCAAAAAAGAAAAAATGAAATTAAGAATACAAAACAAAAAGTAGCTCATAGGAGTGCAAAGAAAATATATCCCAGGAAACAGCTAAGAATTGCTAAGCACAAGTTTGATAAAGTTACTTAAGAAGCTTAAAATGATCCCTGGGTTATAGTAAAGAAAATATTTTCCTTCTGTCAAAGAAAAATAAAGGTAATGATACCCTTCAGGAATCCCAGGATGAAAGCTAAAAGTAGTCTGAATGAATTTGGTAATTTAATGACAAAGGAAGTGTAATAGTAAAATATTTTTCTTCTCGCCAAGAAAATAAAAGGTAATTACTTATTCCAGGAAACATTAAAATCTTCAAAAGCCATTATGAAGCAAATAATACATGATTTAGAGAAACTGATGGCTGTAAGATAAAACAATCCATTTGACCTTTAGTTTGTATTCTGCTTAAATCAGTATACAGATTTCAAGACTGTAAGACTGGAGATACAATCACATGGTAATATCACCCATGAATACATCTGCATAATCTAGCACAACTGCTTGTTATTGATTAGCAGTTTTTAGAATCAATACATAAAGGAAAATTAAAAGTTTAGTTCCCCCAAATAATACACATCTATTAATGACTGATTATATAAACTAATAGTATAACTTACAGAAGTTGGAGGTAAAGGGCAGTAATGAATTGGAAAGAAAGCACAGGGTTGTTCAGATACTGTTTAAAACTGATGGATCAGGAATAACTTATTAAAGTCATAGAAGCAACCAAAAGAGAAATAAAAAAATTAAATAAATAAATGAGGAGGAGGAATAGAGTGAAATAAATTGCTTATCACTCAAAACGGACAGTCAACAGGTACCACTTAAATGACAAATCAAGAAACAGCAGCAGTAAGCCTAGAGTGACAAAGACAGTTACCTAAAGAATAAAAAGTGGTTGTTACCTCTGAGAAGTGAGATTGATGTGGATGGCAGGGAGGAGCACTTTTATTATTTAATCTGCTTGAACTGTTTAAAATCTCTGTTCAGGTACATGCACTAAAATTAAATTTGTTTTCAATCCTAAAAACCATTAGGGCTGGCAGAGGAATGAGAGTTGACTGTCTAACAGTATGGGAAGATTCCAGGACACTATAAAAAGCAGGTATAAAAACTCAAAAAAGATTTGAAAAGGCCATTTTAAATAAAGGCATATACCTATGGAGTACTTCTAAAACAGCACAGTCAACAAAAGAGGTTTATTATAACTGATTTAAACAACAAATGTTTAATATTTTCTATTAATACTTAAGATGGCAGAGATTAACTTTAAAATCATTAGCATCCAAAATAATGTATGGCCCTTAAAGTATTGCAGATTCTGGAAAATTCAATTTTGGAAAAAAAAGTTATTACATATATTTATGGATAATATATGATGGTCCAATACTTTAACATGTTCATTTAAAAAGAATGACTTTGAAATAAATGATCCTTAAAAATCATCATAATAATAGCATGACACTGAGGTTATAATGTTTTAATAAAGCTTTTACATTTCTGGTACTAATTCATATAATGTATATGATATAGCACTCAAAAGGAAGAAGACAGTCTTCTTACAAAATATTTAGGGTACATTTCTTTTGACCGTTTACTCAATAATATATATCTGTCACATATTCTTTTGGTATTTTTCTGAATTATTATATAAAGCTTTAAAAATGAAAGTTTCATATAAAAATAGTTATTTATTTGACTTTTAACAAGTAAATTTTCAAATTAAATTACTTAGTATTCCATTTACCAATGTATATTGCATAGAAAATTAATACTTTAATATTTAAAAAAACATCAAGAAGTCAGTTTTTTTTAATGCCTGCTACATCTTCAAGTTGGTAGTTCAAATTTTGTTAATAATTTTAAATTACACATTTGTAGGTATAAAAGTTTACAAAAAAATACATTCCAATTTAGTAAAAAAGACTTCTAAATTTACATTTTCAAACACTGTTGTGATCGCTATAATGACTATCTTGTAGACATAATTAGTCAAAATAAGTTAATTTTTAAAAAATCAATAATGTAGTATTCTGGCAAGATTTCTTTAGAAATAAACGAAGGTAATTATAAAGTCAAAGTTATATATGTACTATTATAAATAAATATGTTCTAAGTATAATTACTTTGTTTTAAAAAGCAGAAGATAAAAATGCATAAATAGGTAAAGATTTTTAAATTTAAGTCACCAGTGCAGAAATCTTGGCACTTAATCCCTTAAAATGTTAGAAGATTTCAATTTAAAGGATGACTCCTCACTGGGGATACTGTGACTTTCTGTAAGTCAAAAATGAAAGTCTATTTTTTCTATTTAGATGTTCCTAGTGTTTTGGTTCAAGTGTTTCTATGCAACTCCTCCTTTAACTTAAATGTTCTTTCCCTGAAAAAGACATTTTTAAGCTAATGATTTTGGCCTCATGACATATACTTTAGAGATACTCGTGACTTTGCAGCCAATCCTTCCCCCATTCTAATGTCTATACATACATGCGCTGATAAATATATACATATATTGGGGATTATAAAAATACTTATTTTTTTAAGTTTAAATAATTACTGAATGTTAACACAAAATACATTAATATTTGTATAATTTTACTTTACAAAAAGTAAAAATTTATAAAAAGGTTTTCTTACAGCAGCATTTGCATTGTGAATGAAATGTGATGGAACGACGTTGCAGTGTGCATGGATTCATACTGCAAATCAGACAGAGCAGCTGCATTCCTTCCACTGGAAGGAATGTCTGTTTCAGAAAAGCAGTTCCTATAAAGTACAAAAGTCTTGAGGGGCTAATAACTTACATGAACCTTAGAAGTGCATTTTAAACTTATACCCATAGCATTGGCAAGATTTTAAATAATACCCACAAGAAGTCCAGGTTATCTTTACCTCAAGAAAAATTTCCTAATGAAGTAAGTAAAAATTATGGTAATGAATGGTGTTTTTTGAATTACATAAACTTGTTAGAAAATAACTGAAGGTTTCAAGAGTAAAAAATTTAAAACATCACTGTGAGAGATAAAAGAAAGTGAGAAAGATGGATGTGAAACATAAGACGTTATGAAAAAGCAAAACTCTCAACCTTAAACACTCATATTAAGCTTGTTTTTGTTGAGTTCACGCTCTAGATTTCCAATCAAAGTATCAATACTTTCTTGTAGATCTTTGAGATTGACTTTTTGGTCCACACTAGACTCAATTGTCTGCACTGTCAAATATGTCTGAAATGTGCATTCTTTGGACGGAGGAGTTGGCTGTTCAATCATGATATCTGGCTCATATATTTTGCTACAGTTTTCTCCATTTTCTCTGTCTTCTGAAGGGACATCATCATAATCCACAGTATTTAAATTTTCTTTCTTATTTAAAAAGTAGTTTTCTCCACAGCTGCTCCAGTCTCCTGCATAACGATTACTGAGTGGACTGTCTAGTCTGGTTTGCCTTGGCCTGAGTACTCTTGATGATTCAGTACCACTCAAATTTAAAAGGTAAGGTCGTTCTTTCTTCCGCCTCAAATAATCAAGAGAAGACTTCTGCTCTGGGAACAAATTGTCTGCTGATTCTTTGATAGTTAAACGTTGCACTAGGAACAAGCAATAGATTTGCTTTAGTGACAGTAATCCAACTTAATCCAATTTAAAAACACAGAGCTAAAGATAAGCTATTTAATAATCAACTACAAACATGCATTGCAACACATGCACACTACCAAAAGAAAGCATTCCATAACTATTTTTTCTATCACCAGACATAATCAAGATTAGGAACAGAAGCCAGTAGAATGTTCAGTGGTGCTAATTCATGCTACATCACAACATCCCAAAATAAACCAAATTTCCAAGTTGATTAACTTTCTGTGCAAGTTAATTAATATCTAGCTGTAATTCAAACAGTGGCTAAGCTGGTAGCTTCTTTTAAATTAAAAGCTACAACAAAAAGCAGGCAAGGCATGTTCGTGTATAAACAAAACAAAAGTTTCTTTATCTGCAAATATCTAAATGAGGCCAAAGCATCTAAAGTGCTCAGTCTTAAAGTTCTAATCTTTGTGGGTTTTTTGCAATTCTACTAGCAGCAGTGTCATAATTTACTTGACTTTAAACAGCCAAATTTCACTTTGATAAAATGCACGAAATCTAGACTTGTCCACTTGTTACCTGAGTTTGATTATACAGCATTAGCTAATAACAGTCTTCATTTATTGCCTGAAAATAGTACAGATATTTTATTTTCCCATTCTGGTTAGGAATCTAACAATCTCCAATAACATTCCTCATATTTAGACTAATTCCTTCTATTATTAATAATATGCATTGCACTGGCCAAACAGATTAGCAGGGAGACACACATTATTTCCTAACAAATCAAGACTTTACAGCTTACTCTTTTGTGTGTACTGAACAAAACACTTGTCAAATGGACTTAATTTAAATGTTGAGGCACAACTATTAAAAAATTGTCCATAATGCCTTTCTATTTCTCCTTGTTTATTCTCCATTAATAAGTGCCTTTCCATTTATATACTTCCCTTCACTAAGATAAAGGGAACATATAATCAGTGACAACATACCAACTTTACACTCTCCAACATATTCATTTCCTACTGAATAAAATAAGATAATTAAAGAATAATACAGACATGTATATGGTTCTAGTTTTCCAGATGTACAGTGATTTATATAGCATTTTCAGAGATTGAAAGATTTTTTTAAACTTAGATTTTATTAAAATACTTGATAACTGTATATAGGTATGTTTTCAACATCTCTGTTTACCTGCATTTTTATGATGGCTATTACATATCACTATGAACAGCTAAAAGCTCTTGATCTAAAATTTTCTACAAAAAAAAGGTCTGATATTTACTTTAAAGGAATGTGTGTGTTAGTCGTTCAGTTGTGTCCAATCCTTTGCAACTCATGGACTGGAGCCCACCAGACTCCTCCGTCCATGGGATTTTCCAGGCAAGAATACTGGAGTGGGTTGCCATTTCCTCCTCCTGGGGATCTTCCCAACCCAGGGATCAAATCTGGGTGTCTCCTGCATCTCTTGCATTACAGGCGGATTGTTTACCCGCTGAGCCATGAAAGGAATGGCGATATTTACTTTAAATTGATATTTAAAACAGTATTAATAGAGAGTGTCATATGCCATTGCAAAATGGATATCTGAATTTTTTCACTGTTTAATTATTCATCCTTCTACTGAAGATGCTTATCATCACTAAGTCTCCTTGCTTTTTCCCTTCATTTTCTGTGCTGTTCCTATTCTGAGCGCTTAAGTGTCATGCCTGTTGTTTTTGCCAACCCATTACAGTACTAGGCTAACCTTGAGGTCATCTGGTTTGTGATCCAACCAGAGTAAAATATTTTTGACTCTGTGTTGACCTTGTCTTAATTTGTCTGTATTTTCTGACAGTCACCTACAAAAACCCACATTTATTTTGTTGCCAGCGGCTTAAAGTTGCTTAACCAAGTCCCTGTTCAAACATTATTTTCTTAGAAAATATTTAAGAAACCAATTTATAATATTTTATATCTCTGGTGGCTCAGACAGTAAAGAATCCACCTGCAATGCAGGAGACCTGGATTGGAAGGATCCCCTGGAGAAGGGATTGGCAACCCACTCCAGTATTCTTGCCTAGAGAAGTTCATGGACAGAGGGCCTGGCGAGCTACAGCCCATGGGGTTGCAAAGAATCAGATACGGCTGAGCGACTAACACTTTCTTTCAAAAAACCAACTACAGTATTTTTATATCTTTTAGACCAAAATTTCTAAAAAAATCAACTTTACTAGCTTTTTAAACTACTGGTGGTGAAATGGGTTTCCTATTACATATGCGGATAAAATGGTTAATTTTACCCCCCAAAATTCTGGTTTTCCTAGCACTGCTGATTACCCACTTTCAAAAGAATAAGATGAAAATACAATCTAGAAAGTTCTTTAAAAAATTCTCAAAATATAATGATAATTACTAAAAAACTTAATTTTCTTATTTTCTACCAATAGATTTATATTTTTAATCACTACTCTATTAGCGTTTTATCTATAGTATAACTACCTTGGGCATAATTACTTTACTTAATAGAATATATTGGGTATCTAGTTGTTGCCAAGTACTCTGTTATAACCTGGAAATGTAGAGGTAAGCAAAATGTAGTCCTTGATCTCGTGAAGCTTAGCCTACTGAGAAAAATGAACCAAAAAGAACTAGGGAAGGAATTCCCTGGCAGTCCAGCAGTTAGGACTTCAGTCCTCTCACTGCCAAGGGCCCAGGTTCAATCTCTGGCTAGGGAACTAAGATCCCACAAGCTACACAGCCAAAAAAGAAAACAGAATTAGAGAAAATTGATAGCTCTTCCAAAAACAAAAGCCCTGTCCCAAATCTATTCATCATAGAAAATGTGATGTAGCAAACAGCTGGTCTAAGAATTGTATATTCTCTAAAGCTATTTTCCTATCTATAAAGTGAAAGGGTAGTCTATCTTTAATTTTCAATATTCTTAAGACAGAAAACTAATGTTTTTTAAAAGCAACTACCTTCTAAAAACCCAGTACATAAAAAAGATGAAAAGAAGACTGTTTTGATCAAAAGAGAAATATGTTTCCATTTTGCTCCTTCACCTGCTGCCAATCTGGCCCCAAAGCTGCTTCCAAAGAACTTAGGGTTTTGCCAGAAGAATCTGAAAAGCCACTGGCAGGCTGACTTTTAACTTTCAGTGCCAGTATACCAGGGTTCTAACTGATCACTTTGAAGACAAGATTTTTCAAGAAGAAAAGCTCAAAGTAAATTATATTCAAATTATTAAAGTAAATTACACTGCCCAAAATTTAAAAAAACAAAAAGTAACACAAAACAAAAAGTTAAGGAAGTAAAAAAGAAGGAAGGTAGGCTGGAAAGGGTGGAACCAATTCTTTTTATTTCTGGAGTAGGGTAAATACCAACAAGAAAAATAAATGAGATACACATAGCAAGGACAGTCATTCAGCAAGTAAAATGCCATGGTCCATTTTATGTCATCATCAATTTTCTCAGGCTCAGGAAGTGCACTATGTCTACTTGATTTATGCCTCTTCTTGAATCAAAAAACAAGTGATTTAGTAGGCAAAACTAACTCCTATTTCCTCTCAACTTTCTGCCCTGTTCTATACTTTGTCTGATGTATTATAACTGAAGAAAAATAGCAAGTTATAGACAAGGGGGCAGCTCCAACCACATAAACCTTTGGAATAAGGTGCTATATATTCAGACACCTTGCTTAAGGCTGTTATTGAAATATTGTACAGGGAATCTCAAATCTAAACCTTTTTTTCTATGACATACAACATAAATTTTTGCTCCTAAATCCAACAGTAAGATGACTGTTACAAAATAATGGAATGACATTAACTTCTGATACAGTATTAATGATAAAGGAACTCAGATACTGGTAATAAACTTAGTATCTCCAGGCAAGCAAACTTTCATTTGATTAAAATGATAAGATAGCTCCTTTCCCAATTCTTCATGTTTATTAAAATTAAAACAGTTCTAGGAAAAGCTAGGAAACACACATTTAAAACCTGAACCCGAGTGATCCCTTATGTTGGGTACCAAATGTAGAAATCAGACTAATTATTTAGAACACCTTCATTCAGCACTTTTAACTAATAAATAATACATACTAACTCAGCTAAAATATAATTTGAAAATGATTTTTTAAGACTGTATTTAAAAGAAAACAGAAATACTAACTTTCCAAATTTAAAAGCTGAAAATTTTTATTAGCTTAATTTTTAATTCACTTTTTAAAATTAATTAGTTTTTTAAAAGACTAAATCAGAGGGAGGTGGGAGGCGGGACCGGGATGTAAATCCATGGCTAATTCATTTCAATGTATGACAAAAACCACTGCAATGTTGTAAAGTAATTAGCCTCCAACTAATAAAAATAAATGGAAAAAAAATAAAAGACTAAATCAAGCAATCCTTTATACTTTGTGTGTTTTTTTTAATAGGTATTTATTTATATTTATTTACTTTTGGCTGTGCTGGGTCTTCGTTGCCACACATGGGCTTGCTCTAGCTGCAGCGAGCAGGGGTACTCTCTCGTGGTGGTGCTTGGTATCTCTCACTGTGGAGACTTCTCCTGTCTCAGAGCATGGGCTCTAGGGTATGCAGGCTTCAGTAGCTGTGGCTCGAGAGCTCTGGAGCACGGGTTCAGTAGCTGTGATGCATGGGCTTAGCCGCCCTGAGGCACGTAGAATCTTCCCAAACCAGGAATCAAACCCCTGTCCCCTGCATTGGCAGGCGACTTCCGAGCCGCTGACTCACCAGGGAAGTCTCAGTCCTTTGTACTTTATTTAGTCTATCCTTCTCATATACATTAACAAAAGAGTGGTTTTTGTTGAGTGGCTAAGTTGTGTCCAACTCTTTTGTGACCCCATGGTTCCTCTGTCCATGGGATTTCCTAGGCAAGAATACTAGAGCAGGTTGCCATTTCTTTCTCTAGGGGAACTTCCCAACCCAGGGATCGAACCCACATATCTTGCACTGCAGGCAGATTCTTTACCACTGAGCCAGCAGGGCAGACTAATAAATAAGCACATTTACTGAGGAGTGACTTTATGCTAAGCTCTCTGCTCATTTCCTTAGATCCTTTATGCCAATCTCCACAACAACCCTAAGGTAGGCACTATTTATAGAGAAGCACACTGAGGCTTAAGAAGGTTTGCCTGAGTCCACACTGCTGGTGAGTGCCACAATCGGATCTGAATCCAAGCCTGACTCCAGGGCCCAGGCACTTTTAACACTTTGTTCCACCCTTAGCATTGAAGTACCTTCACACTTGGTCCTATGCAGGATAGGGGAGGCAAGTGGGAGTTACTACCAGGTAAGAAAATTTTAGAACCTAAATAGAGGGATTCTTTCTAAAACATCTAATTAAATACCTATTCCTTTTAGCTGTGAAAATACTTCAGAGATATGTTAGGAAAATAACTGTCAGCCTTTTCTTATTGAATAAGGGACGGACAAGAAAAACTGAAGGTAATTGTCCACTCAAGCCTAGATAATTTGAATCACCATGAATACATGAAAGATGTCAGGAAGAACTGATTTAAGTAGAAAAATGAATTCTGCTTTAAATCAGTTGAACTAAAAATGACAACAGTAAAAATATTAATATTTACTGAGTACCTGTTATGTGCCGAGAACTGTGCTGAGCACCTTACACACATAAATTTTTTAATTTAATCTTCCTATCAATTCTATAAACATATTACTAACATATTACATGACAGAAGGTGATACTGAGGCTCTAAAATGTTAATGAAGTTGCCCACGGTCAGACTAATAAGGGATACAATAAGGATTCAAACCCAGAGCTGACCAAATCCAAAACGTATACATTGATCTCTATGTCTACAACAGTATCAGCAAAAGCAAAAAATTTAAATGGAGAAATCTAAAGGGCAGGTTATCAATTCGTACTATTTTAAAAAGCAAAATCTAGACAAGATTTTCTTCAACCATACATGGGCATATTTAATGATTAGCTAATTCTATCATTATAGAGATATCATTGTAAGAGAAAAATAATTCCACTGAATCATTTACCTGGCCAGAGTTGAAGTAAGTAGTGAAGAACTTCAATATGTTTTTTAAAATCCAAAGCAGTCGCAAGTTCCTCGGAATCAGTAAAGACTCTGTTGTTATGGGTGGAAGTCTCTTGCCTCTGACTTAGTAATACTGGTCCAAAGCACACAGCCAAGTTCTGGCAAGTCATCTTATTCACATCATGATAAGAAGCCACCAATTTCAAATGATCCAACAACATCATTAGAGTTGCCTAAATTGAATTAAATTTCACTTAATATAGTCAAACAGGGATAAATTCAAGGACATAATTTATAGCAGGAAATACAGACAAACAACCTATCACTTTTTAGAGAGTTGTTTCAAAGATTTTTAGGCTGGATGTTTGGAACTTGAAACACATTTTTTTTTTTAATAAAATGTTACACAGGACACTTAGGTTTTGACAACATGATTTGATTCATTGAATGGTTAAAATAAACATTATCTAAAATGCTCATGAATGAATTCCAAATTTTAGCTGGAGTTTCTTAGAAAATATGCCATCAACTTTTTCCTCTCTTCCCTTCTCTAAAAAGATAACAACAGCAAAGGCTGTGACGAAAAAGGGATTAGGGTAGAATTTTTTTTTTTTTTAAGTTTTAAAACAACATGAATTTATTCTCTGATAGATTTGGAGGCCAGAAATCTGAAAGGAGTCTCAGGGAGCTAAAATCAAAGTGTCAGCAAGCAGGGCACACTCCTGCAGAAGCTCTAGGGAAGAATCTGTTTCCTTGTCTTTTCCAGGGTCTTGAGCTATATTCCTAACTTTCCTCAACTCAGGGACCCTTCTTCCATTTTCAAAATTAACAACATAACATCTTCTGATTCTGCTTCCCTCTTTTCATCACATTGTTTTCTCATCTGCCTGTAGTCAAATCTCCCTCTCCCCATCCATTATAAGGATACCTGTGATTACATTTAGGACCTACCTTGATAATCCCAGATAATCTCTCCATCTCAAGATACCTATTTGTTTGTTTTGGCATGCAGGATCTTAGTTTTCATACTATGTCACTTTTTATGTAAGAAAGAATGGGAAATGAGAAAACATACATGTATCTAATCATTGTACAACCAGAAATACAGAAAGTATAAACAAAAAACTAGTAAGATTAGGTATCTATAGTTGGCTAAATAATGGCCACCAAAAATATCCAGGTTTTTGTAGGTATCATTAAATTAGGTATCTTGAGGGAATTCCTTGGCAGTCCAATAGTTAGGACTTCCCACTTCAACTGCAGGAATCACAGAATATTCATTTTTAAGTTCAGTTAAATCCTATAGTCATAAGTAGGGGGCACCATCTTAAAATCTAGGTTACCATGGCCAGGTTCTATTGTGATTCAGATTAGGAAGAAGGCCAATGCACTTCTTAATTAATAAATATTTTAAGTAGATAAACAATGGAAAGGGGAAGAACAGAAATGAAAAAAAATTTTTTTAATCCTTGAAGAAACCAGTAAGGGGAATTTGCTTAAGAAGTGAATGGTTATTTAAGTTTAAGCAATTACAAAAAGAAATGATGTTTTTAATATACTGGTATATGATCAATCATTTAACAAAATAAGCATGTAATTTCCTCTTCATAATTGAAGAAATAAATACCAATAATAATCTGTAACTTTTTTAAATTATTAAAAAAATTAAAATGACATATTATCAGTATTTCTGGAGCCAAAAGTGACAACTGGATTTGGTGATTAGAAGATAATTAGTAACCTTGGCAAGAACAGATCCACAGAGATGGGGTAGGAAGCCAGATAACAGTTTGTTGAGTAGTAAAAGAGTGGTGAAGAAGTGATAACTACCAGAACAAACATTTGCTCAGTGTTCAGCTATGAAGGGAAGGGATCAGGAGCAAAATGGATCTAGAGTAGACTACAGTTGATGTTCTGAAACCAAAACCAGTCACACACTGGTTAACACTGTTAACACACACACATGACTGTTTAAATATATTAGGCTCAATCTCAACAGCAAACCAAGAAACGCAATCTAAAATAAGAAATTTTTTTGTCCTTGAAATAAGATCAGCCAAAAAATGTAATTGTTCTGTCCCTTTTGAAAAGTAATATTAAAACATGTACTAACAGCCTCAAAATGTTCACAATATTTAAATCAACAATTCCACTCTGAAATTCTAATTAAGTAATTCTAACTGAAAAGAAAACTGTGGACAAATATATACAAATAGGTTCAAAACCTAAATTTTATACAAACAAATAATGATAAATTGTCAAATCCATTCAATGGAATACTTTGCAGCCTTTTTGGAAAGAATATTAACAGCATGAGCTTTAAGGCCAGAAAGGCCTAGATTCATATGACAGACTAGAACACCCAAAAAGCTATATAATCTTGGGCAAGTGATTTAAATTCCCTGACACTCGAGTCTTCATTCATAAGCAAAATGATACATAATTTTACCTTATATTGATGAAGGAACATTTCTAGCCCCTCACCCCACCCTCCTTCTTCTGCCTACCTCTTTGTAGCTATTCCTTTCTCCCACCCAAAGGAATAGAAATTCCTAATCTAACTGGACAGAGAACAGGCCATTCAGATGACTAAAATAAACTAGTGCATGAAGGTATTGGGCTTAAAGTATTTCTATCCACTCTTGGGCCTTCCACTCTCACATTATAAGAAATATAGGCAAAGTTGGCCTCATCTGGATAAGCCTGGCCATAGTTCTTTCCCTTATTCTCCCTTTTGTTTTAAGGAACAACAGCTGAAGTTAGGCTAAGATTAGTTTTGCAAGCCCAGTCACCCTCTCTCTCTTACAGGCATACCGGAAGATACTGGCATGAGATTTAGATCGTGGGAAGGGGGCATGTGGGAAGAGACGAGGAGGAAGGAAAGAGTGGTGGTAGCGCTTAGTCTTGAGGCTAAGTCATGTACCCAAAACAGCTACCATACTTTTAAAATACTATTAATAAAAGGAAATAAACCAAAATGTTAATTATATTGCCTTTAGATATTGACAATTGTAATTTCCATCCTTCTTCTCTATATCTTCCTAACTTTTAATTATAAACATATCATTTTAATAATAAGATAACAATACTCTTAAAACTTATCAGTATTCATGCCTAGGTTAATATCACATGTGAAAGAGATAAAATTGTTTTCTAGATGATTTATTCTATATAAGAAGCAGTTTCTAGATTTACGCTGTTTAGTCTTTAGCAAAGGTAGAGCTAAAACTCAGTGTTACAAATGTCAAATAACTAAAAAATTATCTGTAGCTCTGGAGCTAAATACTCAGTTCATTAAGTATATGGTTTGTTTCAGGAAGAATGTATATCTACGGTGCTTACCTTCTCAACGTCAGGCAGACAATCCAGAAGGCCAACAGTGTACTGAGAATCACCTGGATCATTCTCACAACCATTTGATGACATTTTCAAAGGATTTTTTGCCATTGCATCTAATACAGCCTCATAAAGCTGCTTTGTTATCAGAGGAGAAGGAAGTTCTCTTAAATAATCCTTAAGAACACCTTCAGAAACCAAACAAACCAGAAATAGATGTCAATTACTCTTTAGAGTGAAATAATAAAAAGCTGTGGAGAATTTTTTTTCCAAAGTATCATTACGGTGAACTTTTAACATTCTGAAAACAATAAAAGCAGAAATGTAAAAGGTATTGTAACAAAACACTTGCAATTTGTGTTCTTAGAAATTGCTTCATTAACTGACTTTTTGTTTTGAAACCATGTTAATAATGCACATGCATAATATCCAATTATCATATATATTAGGTTTGTTCATAAAGTAAATTCCTTTTATAAAAAGCTCCTTTAAGTGTGTATAAAACAAAAGAAAATAAGGCATACTAATATTAATTGTAAATTATTCCAATTATATGGATTTTTAATTTCCAGACTTTTCATAAACCCTTGCAAATAAATGTACTAAATAAATGTACTATATAAATGTACTTCCTCTTAAATATAGAAGATATGGCTTAAACACACATACTGAATAGTCAGGATAATCTCCAATGTTATACTATGGAAGAGAAAAATCATCTCTAAAACCAAAACCTAAGAACAGAAAACAACAAATGTGTCACTATGATAGGAATGAGGTAAGTCTATTTCAAACACACCACAAATAGTTATGAACTAAGAGGTGATATAGCTATAGTAAAGGAAACAGGAAAGGATAATAGATGTTACATATAAGGAAGGTAGGTTAAGATAGTAGCTAAATGCTAGAATGTGATCACAAGAAAAAAAATAGACGTTTCTGACAGCAAAAACCTAAATATAGACAATATTGATTTAGAAAATGCTCTCAGCTTAGCTGATAACTTAGTTTGAGGGCTTAATTTGAATTTAAGTGAAAGTGAAAGTCGCTCAGTCGTGTCCAACTCTTTGCGACCCCATGGACTATAGAGTCATTGGAATTCTTCAGGCCAGAATACTGGAGTGGGTAGCCTTTCCCTTCTCCAGGGGATCTTCCCAACCCAGGGATCGAACCCAGGTCTCCTGCGTTGCAGGTGGATTCTTTATCAGCTGAGCCACAAGGGAAGCCCAAGAATACTGGAATGGGTAGCCTATCCCTTCTCCAGTGGATCTTCCTGACCCAGAAATCAAACTGGGGTCTCCTGCATTGCAGGTGGATTCTTTACCAACTGAGCTATGAGGGAGGCCCAATTTGAATTTAAACATGATCATAAAGGAAGTTTCCCATCTGATAAATCTTTTAAATTTTGATAATACTATGGCTCATAAGAATCCTTGGCAGGAAATTCAGGTTCAATTCCTGGGTCGGGAAGATCCCCTAAGAAGGAAATGGCAACCCACTCCAGTATTCTTGCCTGGGAAATCCCATGGGCAGAGAAGCCTGGTGAGCTACAGTACCTGGGGTTCCAAAATAGTCAGATGTAACTAAACAACACAACAATGGTAAATTAGTTTCTTATGCATCCTTCCAGCATTTGTTTATGCAAATATAAGTATTAATAATATATTACTATTTGTTCTCCTTTATTACATAAAAGACAGTATATATACTTTTTCATTTAACATTTTATCCTTGCTATGTGCTGTGTTTAGTCACTCAGTCATGTCCGACTCTTTGCGACCCCACAGACTGTAGTCTGCCAGGCTCCTCTGTCCATGGGGATTCTCCAGGCAAGAATACTGGAGTCGGTGGCCATGCCCCCCTCCAGGGTATCTTTGCAACACAGGGATCAAACCCAGGTCTCCCGCACTGCAGGCAGATTCTCTACCAACTGAGCCACCAGGGAAGCCCAAGAATACTGGAGTGGGGAGCCTGTCCCTTCCCCAGGGCATCTTCCTGACCCAGGAATCGAACCGGGGTCTCCTGTACTGCAAGTGGATTCTTTACCAGCTGAGCTACCTTGCCATAACCCTTGCCATATTTTCTGTACACAGAAATTTTCTTCAAACATTTTTACAGCCACATCACAGTATTCCAATGTATGGATGCCCCACTTTTTGATCAAGTCAGTGGCTACAGACAGATACTTGTATTCTTTCTAATCTTCTGTTATTTCAAAACATGCTACAATGAATAACCTTGCATATCATCATTCTGTATATATGCAGGCATGTTCATAGGACAAATTCCAAAAACAGGACTGCTGAATCAAAAATATCTTTGTCATTCTGAGGAAAAGGAAGTGTAAGGATGTTTCCTAGGTCTGGGGCTTCAGCAACTAGGTGAATAATAGTGCTATTACTTGAAACGGGGGAAAGGAGGAAAACCATGCTTTAGGGGATAGAAAGGAGTTTCATTTTGAACATATTAAGCTTAAATTATGTATGGGACATTCAAGGGTACTGGATATAAATATCTGAGACTCAGGAAAAAGATAGCTGGAGACACAGATCTGAGAATGATCAACTTAAACATGATAACTAGAACCTTGGGAATGACTGAGATGATCAAGGAGGAGAGAGACAGAAAGAGAGAAAGAAAGAAAGTGAAGTCGCTCAGTTGTGTCTGACTCTGCGACCCCATGGACTGTAGCCCGCCAGGCTCCTCAGTCCATGGGATTTTTCAGGCAAGGACACTAGAGTGGCTTGCCATTCCCTTCTCCAGGGGATCGTCCCAGCCCCGGGATCGAACCAGGTTCTCCCACACTATAAGCAGACTCTTTACCATCTGAGCCACCAGGGAAGCCAAGGAGGTAATACAGAGTCATATGAGAAGGCCTAGTAATAAGAGAAAATGATGAAGAACATCAATCAGCTCTTTTTAAATAAAATTTTTTCTTCTTTTAAAAATTTATTTTATTTATTTTTAATTGAAGGATGTTTGCTTTACAATGTTGTATTGGTTTCTGCTGTATAACAATGTGATTCAGCTACAAATATACATATATCCCTCCCACCCCACCCCCCATCCCAATCTTCAATCAGCTCTTAAGTGGTCATCAGGAAGAGGATTTTCCAAAGGTGACTAGGGAAGAATGGCTAAAGACGTGTGAACGGTAAGTAGAGGCAGGATGGGGGTGGGGGCAGGACAGGCAAATATGCTATCAAGTCAGTAAAGGAAAGAATGTTTCAAGAAAGAGTTTAAGCTATCAGTTGATACCCAATAATAATTAGGTTAGATAAGAAGAGTGTGCTAGATTGGCCATTTGTATGTTAAAGTCATTCAGAATGATGGCAGGACTTCAGCTGGAAATCTAACCATAGGTAAGATATCAGTCTTTAGTGAATAGATGAAAATGCCCAAGTATTCTGATGATGATATTAAACAGGAAAGAGGAGGTATAAGACTGTGCTGTGAGCCTCCAAAAAACCTTATTCCTTAACATAGCATAACTTTCTACTCCATAGTAAAAAGATAACAAGATGGAAATAGCAGGAAGGAACCAAGAGAATACTGACTAAACTTTTTCTTTGATATATAGAAAGAGATACAATATATATAAATTGCTTGGCATATAACAATAATCAATACCTGTTAGATATACAGTGATATTCCCATTTCTTAACTTATATCATCTGATCTTTACTACTATGATTAGTTTCCCACAATGAATAGCAACATTCAGTTTAAAAAGCATCTACAACTAGAAAGTGAAAATGCAATTTTCTGTAGCTGCGAAACAAAGACACTACTAAACCTTTAGGGCATAATTTTTTTTAAAGGTTCCATATTTGTTCCTCAACAAAACAAGACTTGTTAGTTCTCATAAAACTCAGTATGCCCTGGTAATTTGAGACTTGTCCTATAATGCAATTATATTAAATTAAAATCTAAAAGATCTCCAGAAAAGATAACTTTGTAACTTAGTGAAAATATATGTCAAATATCATTATCGTTTATATGAGTAATATACCAAACAACCATTAATATAAATGGAATTTTAAATTGATCCAGGTTGAAGATTACTTACTTCACTATAATTTGAAGGCAAATAAGGGAGAATTATTATAACAAACATTATGCACTTAAGAGTATGCTCAGCATATTATGTTCAATGAAGTTAAGGTTATTATTGCTTTTTTATTAATAAATGCAGACAAACTTCACAGGAAAAATAATCAAAAGATTTTATAAAATGATACAGAGAGGAAGTATTTATAGTACATTGTGACATATAAGATATAACGACTCATAAATCTAGAAATTGGCCATATGGCCTTATCTCAAAAACTTAAGTGATAGACAGGGGCATCTTAAAACCATGTTGCCTTCTTAACATCTTTCAAACACTTTGGGACATAAAAAATATAAGATAATAAATTTGTGGTGACAATCTTTAATGCTACAGAAGCTACGTAGAAAAGACTTGGGGGAAATTTATGATGAAGTTTATTTAATGCAACACAGTATATCTTTTATCATGTACTTGAAGCAGGCAATTATTGGTAAATAAAGAACTGGTTTAAGCTGCCCTGCAATAGTTAGATACTATGAAATCATATGCCTCTTACCTTCAGGCACAAGGACCAACTAACATGGGAAGATTCTACTCATCCCTGTGATGCAATATAGGTATCACCACACTGAAAATAAAAGGGCATTCTATCTCTAAAACTATATCTATTTCTCAGAGACTGGTTTGAAGTACCTATATTTTATTAACTCTCAGTCACAAAATTCACCATTCTCTCTGCCTAAAACTTGACTAATTGAATAATAAATATACTGACTTGTCTAGTATCTTCTCTTAAAACGATGAATAGATTTTACACCTCAAATTTTGCACCTGATTGAAAAAAATCTGGTTTGTCTGGAGTACTTCATTCTGTATTCCAGACAAACCAATTACTAAGAACACATTAAACTGTGAATAAACTCTATCATTCACTCCATTAACATCTCTTTTAGACCTATTGAACTGTTATATTTCAAAGTTTACTTAGAAATATGAGTTCACACGAAACAAACACATGAGGCAACACTATTACTGGCCAACTCCCCAAATTTTGAGCCATGATGAGCCCCTGTGTATAATTTATTGCAATTCCAATGGTATTTCTCAGACAAAGCTTAAATCATTCCATTGGCCTTTTATCAAGAAAGAAAAGAGCTCTTGGTTGTTGTGAAAAACAACTTTACTGAAATGGAATACAAAGAATAAAGCCAAGAAATATCTAATTCATAAATTATGGAAACTCAACTTTAGAAAAGAATGCTTCTATAAATCTAACATTCATTGATCTACTGTCATATCTTCTGCATATCCTACAAATTTCTGACAATTCAAACCACATCACTTCATCTTCTTAAACTGTACACATCTGACATAATTTTTATCTCCAAGTCAAGGCTTCAACTAAGACAAAACCTCCTTTTATTCAGAATGTAATTTTCTGAGAATTGATATTTGTAAAATTTCTCTTTAATAAATTCATAGAATGAGTCTTTTGCTAATTCTATTAATTATATACTACTAAGGGAAAAAAATCTACTTTTTTGTAGAAATGACCCATTTTTTAGTAGAAATAATAAATCTTCTTCCATTAGAAAAATAAAAGTAACCATTATTTCTGGTTTGCTAAAACTTATAGGAAAAAAAGTGCTTTGGTTTGTCTTCTTTAAGGATTAAAATGCTTGGGATGAAACTTAGTTATCCAAGAATGTATATTAAATAATCGATGAAAATACAGTCATTCAGAGTTCAGAGATTGGGAAGCTCAATTATTTGGAAAGTCTCAATGCTAAAAGTTGGCTTTAAGGATTCCAATCATTAAAAATCTCTAATGTGTGCAAGTTGAGCCCTCCTCAAATTCTCACCTAGGTAACTGTGTGCAAAATAAGAAAGCAATTTAGAAGATAAAAACAAATATTGTTAGAGCAAGGGAAAAAAAAATGGTAGTTGACAATAGAGAGAAGAGAAAGACTATCAAAATACATAGACAATCTGGAAATACATACCAAAGCATCTGTAGGTGAAAGGATGTGATATCTGAGATTATGGTTCAAAATAGTCCAAGTTTGGGGAGAATCAAATGAGGGGTATAAATGAGACAGGCTTGGTCATTACGGAAGCCAGATGATGGACAAAGAAGGTTTATCATAGTATTCTACGCTTGAAAACTTTGCTAATAAAAAGCAAAACAACAACAAAAAACAAACATGGAATTATAAGCCAATAGTCCCCAAATATTGATTAGTTACCAAAAATCTCCTAAAGGCCTTTTTTTCTGTTCTCATATGATCTCTCCACAGAATGACACTGCATCACACCTTGCCCTGAAAACTCTATTGTTTCTTATTTCCCAAACTTTCTGACTCCTTTCCTCTCAATCTCTTTAGATGTTTCTTCTTTCTTTGCCTGCCTCCAAAGTTTGGAGATCCTTGAAGTTCTGGTCTTTTGAAACTTTACAGACAATTGGAAGGTGTTCATTATAACTAGTGCCAATGACCATCATGTTGCCATTTTCATCACTCAGGGTTTTAAAGAGTATTTGCAATGCTGTACATTAAACTGTATTCATCACCTGGGCAAATAAAAGACCCCTCACATTCTACTACATCCTCTCCTTAGCTGCAGATAAGCACTTTCAACTTTGCTTGATATATCCACTGAGATCTCCAACTGGTACCTCAAGTTCAATATGTTTGAAAAGAAATCCAGTTCATAATCTTTTTCTACATTTCTCCACCAAAAGCAGTTTTCTCTTTCTTATTTCTGCTAATGGAATCCAATCAACCAGGCGTCAAAGTCATGTTTGTCTGGGCCCTCCCTGTCTTCATATACTTTCAATTATATTCCTTCCTGCTGTTGCTACTGCTGTTAAGATGCCATCTGCTCTCATTACCTCTTTGCTGAGACTATTGCCAAGCCTTCCTAACTGGTTTTCTTTCCTCTTCTATCTTTTAATATCAATCCATCACACAGACTTGTCAGATAAGTATTCCTGAAGACTATCTCTGAAGATTTCATTCCGCTGCTCAAAAATCTTTGATGGATTCCCTCTGCCTAGTAAATAAATCTAAATTCTCTAACCAGATAGTCAGTGCCCCTTATATTACCGATGCACCAGTCAAACTGAACCTGATGGCATTTTATTTATCACTCTGTGAAGACAAGGTACCCTTTTCCTTCTGTCAGTTACTGGAGCTAATTTAATGTAGGTCTTACTATTTCCAAAGGTTGGCTGTTTGAGAACAGGGACCGTATCTCGGTACCTCCTCATAGAAAATAACACAGTAGTGTTTGTGAAAGAAGGAAAAAAAAGACTGCAGAATAATACCAAAACAGTATTTCAATTCTCTTTCTTGCAGAGGTAGTCTTTCAGAATGTGGACATAAAAATAACATCTATTTATTACCTGTTATTACATTTATATCTGGGTACTGGCTTTCACACAGACCAACAGCTTTGCTATCCCTCTCAAAAGCCTCTCGAAGTTCTTTCTTGACTGCTGCCGAGCCACATAATCGGTATAGGCCTACTACCTAGAAATAAAATTATCGCCACATTATGGTAAATTGGATAAAGAGAAAATATAATAGTACAGTATGTACAAATCACATGACTTTGGCAATCTTATACATTCTGATGGCATTTAACTAAAAATATCTCAAACATAAGCTTCTGAAGTCTCACCACAGACTATAATGATGGTAGTTACAGTGTAATACAAATTTTATACTTTCATTTAAATTCAAATGATATACTATGTCACCTGTAGTGCTAGCTATAATATCTTAAGCAAAGACACAATCCCTTCCCTTTAATTTTATACACTCAACCAATATTTCCATGGGTGCCCTTTTACATCTTTTGCTCCAGACTGAAGTAATACAGCACAACAGCTAATCAAAGATTTTGGATTCATAAAGCCCCACACTATCACTCCTTGCTTGGTGAATTTGGTCAAGTTACTTAATTTGTTTAAAACTCAGTTTATTTTTAAATGCTATAAACTCAGTTTTTTTTTTTTTTAAGTATACATTTGAAATAAGGTTCCAGGAAACTATTTGTGCAAAGTTATCTTTTAAAGTTTCTCGGGAAGAAATGAAAACAAATCTAGGGTTTTTTTTAAAACTTATCAAGTGAATTGATTATAAAGCATTGAAGGAAATTCAGTGGAAATAACATAAAGGTGAAAATAAAACTTCTAGTTCAAAATGTATTTATGGTGCAAAGACACCACTCACTCTCCCTTTAATCTACATTAAAAAGATTTGTTTTTTAAACATTGTTAGTTCAATATAAATTCACTAAGAGAAAATCAACATGGTATCTTAAAGAGAAAACAGGCCTGATTAAGCAATTGGGGCCTTTTAAAAGAAAAAATCTTCATGAAAATTGAGGAAAGTGGTCGTCATCTATACTTTTACATCAAAGACTATTTAGGAAAGAAGTTCAGTCACCTTGAATTGAAAGACTGCATAAAGATATCCAACTTCAAGACAGAAATAAAGTGAAAACACACAATGTGATCCCCAAGGATCTGAACTATAAATCATTTAAAAATATTAAAAATGATCTAGAGGAAGAAAGCAAATGAAATTTACAGGTTTACTTATGACACTAACCTCTCATGAATTATTAAATAACTGATAGACTACACTACAAAAGGTGGGTCTTAATATAGGAAAGTGTCAGGAATGGATCCAAGGAAATGTTATCCAAAATATTTGAGATGACAAGCACTCAGTATTAATTGAAAGATAGTAGAGAACCTACAACTATTTCTAAAAGAAGGTAGTTCAAGGTGCTGCTGAATTCAAAAGGATCAACAGGATATGGGAAACCAAGGAATATACTAGGAATAAAATTCAAATTTCCTATTCTTCTCCACATTCATGGTGTATTCATATTGACAGTAGCAGGTGTTAGTTACATCATCAAGAGAAAGAAAATCAGAATGGCAAATGATCCAGAAAATGAAACTAAAATATTAAACAGGATCAAAGGAAACACTACAACATTAGAAGAAACCAACTTGAGTAGAGCCCTTCTAGTGTAAGCAAACTTAAAGTGTCACAAAAATCTCATAAAGAAATTAAGCTTGAGAAAGATGAACATAGCACAAATTAAAGAAAGTAATACTTCAATAGCAGGTGATAATTTAATGTGTTATCCCAAAAGCTGAAATTACAAATATAGTTTTTAATAGTGAATAAAAGAAGGAAGATATGCTATACATACATCAGGGAGGAATATTTTAGGATATATTCCTTAACTTCAGAGGCTGATTTCTTAAATCAAACACTTGAAGTACACGCTTGATGCCTCTAGTAAGGACAGAATCTAAACTGGACAGACCATGAGTATGATTTCTATACTAATCTTTTCCAACTCGAAGCAGGAGATGCATGATAGTAGCCTTCCAAGTATTTGGAAAATATCACAAACTATTTTTGTATGACTAGCAAAACCTGATTGTCATGGTTAAAAAAAAAAAATACTGACTAGAAAGGTAAACAAAATTTAAGCAGTATGCTGGCTTATAAAATACAGGCACATATCAGCCTCTTTCTGTATGTGTATTGGGGTTGAACAGGGAGAAGCAAAAGAGACAAAACAAGAAAAGGTGTTTAAGAAGTACTGTTTCAAACATATAACTGTAAATCTGACTTTTTATTTCACAGGAAATAATTCTTTATTAAAATAAATCTTTCTAAACTTTATAGAAATAAAAAGCATTCCTAAAAAATATTTTCTTGGCATTTAAAAATCACTTAAAACAGTCTTATCTACTTGCTCTTTATAAAATATTTTCAGAAAATAGAGTGTAAAAGTACAGTGCTTTTTGAGTTACTTATGGGGCTTCCCTGGTGGCTCAGACGGTGAAGAATCTGCCTGCGATGCAGGAGACCGGGGCTCAATCCCTGAGTCGGAAAGGTCCGCTAGAGGAGGAAATAGCTACCCACTCCATGCACATGAGAATTCCATGCACAGGCTACAATTCATGGGGTCACAAAGAGTCGGACACGACTGAACGACTAACACACATTTTAATGCACAATTGTAAAAGACTTTAGCTTTATTTAAAGTCTGCCTAACCTCTGGCTTCTCTATATGCTGCCTGGGAAAAAATATGGAGGGAAAATAGACACCCTTAAGAAAAGAGTAACTGGACCAAAAGCTGGATTCTAAAGGCCTCACTTCCACCCAGGCAACACAAACTTGACTTGATAGAATCACATATCTGAAAGAGATTTCAAAAATTCAAATATCCTACCTCTCAGCTTCAGAAAGTTACTACATCTATTTTTATTAATATAAGCAGAAAAAACTCACAGAGATTAAGTGACTTGCCCAACATCACACAATAATGGATGAGAAACCAGAATCTAAGTTTCCTGTATCTTTATATCAAACTTCATTAAGTTAGGAGGTTTCTATAGTTTCCATGTTAAATTCAAGGTAGGTTATTTTACATTTGCTTCTACATTCTTCTAAAGAAATCATATTTCAGATTTTATGGTATTCATCCTTGATATTTTTGATCAATGTTATAAATTCTGATAGCACTAAAGCAAAATACTTTAGTAATGATTCTAAGGCTTATTTTGTATTGCAAAAGATTAGTATAAATAATTACTTGTACCTCATATCAATATTCTCAGTGATACACTGCTTCTCATTGTCATTCTACAAGTATTAATGAAAATAAAGATAAGGTCTGGAGGTGGTGGTGTAGTCACTAATTCGTGTCCAACTCTTGGGACCCCATGAACTATGCTTCTCTGTCCATGCCCACCATGCTTCTCTGTCCATGAGATTTCCGAGAAAAGAACACTGGAGCGGGTTGGCATTTCCTTCTCCAGGGGATCTTCCCAACCCACGGATCGAACCAGTCTCCTGTATCTCCTGCATTTGGCTGGTGGATTCTTTACTGACTGAACCACGAGGAAAGCCCAAAAAATAAGGTCTACCAACTGGTTCACATTTACATGAAAGTGAAAGTATCAGTCATGTCCGACTCTTTATGCCCCATGGGCTAAGGTTCACCAGACTCCTTTGTCCGTGGAATTCTCTAGGCAAGAATAGTGAAGTGGGTTGCCATTTCCTTCTCCAGGGGAACTTCCCGACCCAGGGATTGAACCCAGGTCTCCTGTGTTACAGGCAGATTCTTTACCGTCCGAGCCATGAAGGAAGCCCATCTTGTTATAAAGAGCATCAGGTTTTTTGTTTGTTCTAATGAACTGTTTTTACCTTCTTTAAAAGGAAAAGAGAATGAGATGTGCTTTTATTAGTAGGACCTCTCCTTATCCACCAAGCTACCCCAAAGGTAAGACATGGATAAGCTTATGCTTTCCAAAGTGTGGAACTAAGGGAGAACAGGAAATAAGGGCAAGAGTTAATTTTAGGAGTGAAACAGGGTTATAAGAGTCACTGTTGAACTCTCTATCAAAGGAAAGTCAAACTATGCAAAAACATTCCTTAAATGAATTAGTCTTAGTCCACGTTATTAGCTCTGGCTTTTCCTAGGAATGCCACTGTAAAATGCCATATCTTCATCTCAAAGTTTAAGTCCATGCAGCCCTGCATCAAACATAAAGAACCATCTAGCATGCTTTCAATCACTGACAACACAGGTTAAGGCATAAATTATATCCTAAACAGCAATGTAATAAAAATAAAGAATAGGAATGAGAAAAAGTCTAAATTAGATTTTTTTAAAACTTACCTTGAACTCCTTAAGACTTACTATAAATAAATTGAATTAATTACTTAGATAGATAGATAAGGGGGCAACAGAGAAACACAGTAAAATAATACCTGACAGCCTCTCTTTTCAATTTCCATAATACATTTCTGAATCAGAAGTGGTACCATCAAGCCTATATTTTCTTTCTCTACAACTTTTCGAATATCAACACCAAATATTACTGGTTCTCGATTTATATCTAGCCCATGAAGTGAATTCTCCCACTGTTCCAAAAGAGTCACTTTTACGTAAATAAGACCTCTAGGTTCAAGTTTGACAGCCAATTGATGTGTCTTTGTCACTCGGAATAAGGTGGGAAGAACAACAGTTCCATGACAACACACTCGGTTTTTTCTTGGAGTGGGTTCCCAACTAAACACTACTAATTTCAAATGCTGTGCATTTTCAATTTCTATGTTGAAAGTGTGATCCATGTCTAAAAACGTTGTTCGACATGTGAGCAAAGCTGTTCTGGCTTTGTTCACTGAATCTACCTGAATTGCACAAAAGACATCCTTTGAGTCTATCCTAGGTGGTTTTAAATCCTCAGCACCATAGAAGTGCACACTCATGAGCCCAGATATGTACTGTGAACACTTAGGTTGATCAGAAAAGCTGTAATGTCTAAAAGCATCAATGTCTATTTCATTCTTGCTGCCGCTATTTGGGATTATGTCTTTTCCTTTTGCAAATTTGTTTTCGGATCCATATTTGCTAGATTTGGCTATCAGCTCAGGTGAATCTCCATCACTGAGGTAACCACCTTTGCAGGAATACTTAGAACTCACGGACGTTTTCTTCTGATAGCTGTGCTGAGAAGACACACTGGTATCAAGATGGTACCGACTTATTACATTCCTCTTAGCAGCTGTGGTTGTATTCCCAGAAGGTAGAATAACAGCGTGATGAATCTCTTGACAGTTACATTTAGACAAAGGAGGAGTATTATCTGGACTGTTTACATAATTCAAGGTTCCTTTAACACTCAGTTTTCGGCTCAGTTCTGGCAACTTTTTCATTTTCATGGAAAGTTTCCTCACAGTTCGTGGAGATTTTATTTTATCCGGGAAAGACCAATTTATTGAACTGCCTTTTTTCACAGGGCTAGGGCTTGGTGAAGATGGTTCCTTAACTCCCAAATCAGTCTTGTTTGTAGCAGCTACACTCCCTGGACCTTGAAAAAAAAAAAATAAGGTGAGATGTTTCAATTTCTTTTTACTTTATAAACCACAAATTTAACAAGCTCTCATATGGACAGAAATTCTTCCCTGTTTCATCTTAATGGTGAGGTTTAGTTAAAAGTTTAGCTGAATTCTCATTACCAAGTTTAAGCAGAATATCAAGATCTACAAACGGCTGATGGTGGAAAGAAACATCTTCCTCTTCATCTGCTTTTCTATTCTGAAGGTTTGGAGGAAAGGTAATATAGGTTCCTTTTAAATCTTTCCCACTGCAACATACTTCAGTGAGTATGTATTTATAACTGTAAACAGTGGATATCAGGAAAGGTAATATAGGTTCCTTTTAAATCTTTCCCACTGCAATATACTTCAGTAAGTATGTATTTATAACTGTAAACAGTGGATATCAGCAAAGGTAATATAGGTTCCTTTTAAATCTTTCCCACTGCAATATACTTCAGTGAGTATGTATTTATAACTGTAAACAGTGGATATCAGGAAAGGTAATATAGGTTCCTTTTAAATCTTTCCCACTGCAATATACTTCACTGAGTATGTATTTATAACTGTAAACAGTGGATATCAAAGAAAACTAGGAAAGCTTCCTATTTTAATATGTTCATTTTAACATATTAAAACACCAACTTTTACATTTCCTACTTTAATGTATTTATTTAGAAATTTCACCTAATATAAGAATGATTGATAAAATGTATTTCCTGATAATTTTCAGTTTCCATAAAGAATAAAGTGTTAAGACGCTTTCAAATTTTTCTCCTCAAAAATTGATTTATTTTTTTCTGAATGTCAAAGTTACTCAGGCTTACAATAAAAAGTTTTTCTAAAAATTTAGAAAACACAAATAAATAACAGTCCATATCACCAAAAGATTAATCATTGTAAAACTGCACTACCAGGAGATTAATCATGGTAATATAGCAGTGAAAATTATATTAAAAGTAGCTTCTATTACTATTATTAAATTATAATATTTATTATTAAAAATAATACCAGTCAACTTTTACTGAGCTAGACAAAGTATGAAAACTTAATTTAATAATTAGCATGCATGGACCCTCATTTAAGTCTCATAATAACCTTACGAGTTAAGATACCATTCTCCAGATGAGGAAATTGATGCATGAGCTGTCTAATTTGTCTAAAATCACAAATCTGGTAAGTGGAAGAATAAGGACTCATATCTGAACACAGGCTTTCAGAATCTGTGCTCTAAAATACTATACTTGCACTCTTTCCATCTTTTTAAACATTTTTCTGTCCATACATATACATCAAATTGACTTTCAAAGACCTTTCTTCAACTATTATTAAGAAGTTAAAGCATTCCATTTAACCTTAAACTTTTAATTCCCAGTTAAAAAAAAAAGGATGTAAAGCTAATCAATTTCATTTAAAAATCTGAATATTTCCTGGTAAGTTTTCAAATTAATAGAGCAAATTGAAAGTAGCTTCTAAAAATTTAATATTATATAAATTTAAACTGTGCCTTTAAAGAAAAACATAGTATTACCCCAATTATTTAAAATTTAAATTAATTTTTCATACTTTATCTAATTATTCCTTGTAAAGATCCTTAATGACCCTAGTACCAGAGGCTACCACTATGTAGTACCACATTTGACAATTAAAATGAGAAAAGTGTTTATTCATTTCAAAAAATCAATAGATTAAATGACCTTTCTTTAAAGTATTAAAATAGTCTTAACAGTCCTCTCTCCATCCTTATTTGTGTGTCCTATTGACAAAATAGTTTCTTTACAGAGAAAGGACTATTTTAAGTATGCCTGTTGGGCTTTTCTGGTACGTAACTAATAAGAAATGGAGTGTTTAATAAACTAGACAAAGCATTCCCTTATACTGTAAACTGCAGTACAATTCTACTGGTTTACTGGTCTAAAATATTCTACAGTAATCAGAGTCCTGCTGTAGCATACAATCTATCTATTTTGTCATGGCCTAAAGAAGCTACCTAGTATACAAAACTGTTCTAGGTTTTATTAAATAAAGAGTCAATGTAATATAATGACTTTTTAAAAAACATATTTCTACTGCAGGCAAGACTGAATTTATTGAAACAAAAATGCTTTATTTTTATAAAATCCAAGAGCTGAAATATGACCAAGTTCAACAATCATTTAAAATTAAACCACAATTATACTAATCAAATCACAGATTAGCTATAAAGGGAAAGCAAAAAAGGAAAAATCTTTCAAAATAAATTTATGAACCAGACTAGAATCAATTGAAACTGGCACATTCCCTTCAGCACCTAAAACAATAAATGGCACATAGCAGGAACTAAATGTATATTGAATAGTTGAATTAACCAATTGTTAGTTGCCTGTAAACTGGTAAACTTTTTAGGAAATACAATATAGAAATTACCTATAATAGTTGCCAGCTGTAAAGACCAAGTAAAGATACTATTAATAGTAATCAAAATAGATCACGATAAAGATCACTACATTAGTAGTGGAAACATTCTATTAACACCTAACAATAAGGAACCAGTCAGATAGGGCACATCAACCCAATTAAATACTATAAAAATTGGGGAACAATAATATTAATCTACATGTAAGAATAGGGCTTCCCTCATAGCTCAGTCGGTAAAGAATCTGCCTGCAATGCAGGAGAGCCAGGTTCGATTCCTGGGTCAGGAATATCCTGTGGAGAACGAAATGGCAACCCACTCCAGTATTCTTGCCTGGAGAATCCCATGGACAGAGGAGTCTGGCAGGCTACAGTCCATGGGGTCACAAGAGTCAGACACGACTTAGCGACTAAACCACCACCACATGTAAAAATACAAAGTATAGATAATAAATGAAATCAGCAAAACCCAAAAATAGTCCACTATGACAGCAACTAGATAAAAGGTACATGTATATCCAGAAGTTAATAGGCAAAAAGCAGTCATAATTGTGTCAGGATGATCATAAAACTGTCATTCATATTAAAAATACTTAAGCTTTCCTATTCCTTAATCAAAACATTATTTTGAAATTTAACCATTCTCTTTGCCTATTTCTCAACAGATTTTTGCCAATGTTGCTAAAGAAAACATTATCACTTTAGGTAAATAACCTTTCTGATCATATTAAAACAAAAAAAAAGATTATATAGTCTAAGTATCTCCTTTGGTCAACATAGGAATGTACTTGTTATAACAGTAAACTTAGGAGAAGAATAACAGTAAGAAAGGAGAAATAATTGACATCCTTCTGTACTTTCAAATTTGGGTGGTTGTTTTTGTTTTTTCGGTAATGTCTGTCCTCTTAACAGATTCACAATTTGCGACACACATAAAATAATAAAGTTTAAAGACAGTACTTAAAGTGTGTCTCACTTTATATACACTGACTTTCTAACGCTGCTCTTATACTTATGCCCTCTTGCCTTTTCTGCACCATTCCACACCCATCACGATCTGTCTGCCCTTCTCCTGCAAGCTTTCCTCATCATTCCATCTGGATCTCAACCTGTGTTTCAAATTATTATTTTATATACCATTTATCACTCTTCTCATCCACATTACAAAAGAAACACACAGTCACTGTGGAAAATCAGTTTACATTTAGATATGCACACACACACAAAATTTTAATCCCAACACTGGGGTTGGGGGTGGGGGAGTCAGGTGTTAACATTTCCAGTATAGCTTTTCATTGTTTCTTTCAAAATTAACATGATATAGTTCACACTGTTTTTTAACTTTTTTTTTCCTTGTCAATGTAACATTTACTCCTTCTCCTCACATCCCTGAGAAAAGGATCCAAATGCAAGTAGTTTATTTGTAAAATACAAAAATATCAAGAGAACAGCATCGAAACATGTATATCTAGGGTGAAACAGATCACCAGCCCAGGTTGGATGCATGAGACAAGTGCTTGGGCCTGGTGCACTGGGAAGACCCAGAGGGATGGGGTGGAGAAGGAGGTGGGAGGGGGGACCGGGATGGGGAATACATGTAAATCCATGGCTAATTCATTTCAGTGTATGACAAAAACCACTGCAATGTTGTAAAGTAATTAGCCTCCAACTAATAAAAATAAATGGAAAAAAAAAATATCAGCAAGAAAGTGAGAAAAGTCAGGAGAAAATTCAAGGTGAATTATCAAGCCTGCTACCACTATGGGTAACTAGAGCTTAAGTTCATGAGAAAACTGGGAAACAATGTAGAATTATCCCAACAAGGGTGGAGAGAGCTGGTGTAGGCCTACACCAACTCCTGTCAATCAGGAGTTGAAGGACACTCTCAGGCTGACCTGCAGGAGACTCCCTAACACTTTGGAAGGAGTCCTCCAAGTAGAGATGCAGATACTGATGTTTGGAAGTAGGCTGCCACCATTTAAATAAATAACACCACCCAATGTATATGGACAAGTACTAACAACACCTGCTACACCCCACATATTTGAATATTCTGTATCATTTGAAATTTTCTAAATTAAAATCTTTGATATAAAATAGAACTGCTTTCTAAAAAACATTTAATAATTGCAACTAAAAGTGCTTAGGGTTTCCCTTATAGCTCAGAATCCACCTGCAATGCAGGAGACCTGGTATGATCCCTGGGTTGGGAAGATCTGCTAGAGAAGGGATAGGCTACCCACTCCAGTATTCTTGGGCTTCCCTTGTGGCTCAGCTGGTACAGAATCTGCCTGCAATGTGGGAGACCTGGGTTCAATTCCTGGGTTGGGAAGATCCCCTGGAGAAGGGAAAGGCTACCCACTCCAGGATTCTGCCCTGGCTCTCAAAGAGTCGGACACGACTGAGCAACTTTCACTTCACTTCAAAAGTGCTTATGATCTGTTTTCTAGGTACTACATCTGGGACTAAATTTAAAAAGAAGCACATCAGAAATCAAAAAAGAATAAAACCATTAGGTTGAACTATATGAAATATCAGGTTTTTTTCAGGTCAAAAGCTGTTAAATATTGGCAGTTTCATATGGTTCAACTTAATATATATTCAATCACTTCCTTTCTGGGTTCCGTATCTATTGTAGCACCTATTTGCAAAATATTTACTTCCAGCTCTGGTCTCTTTTTCTCTTCTTCTTTTCCTTTGTTTCTGAGGAAATGTAGGCACAAAAGTGAAAACTAATGACTACTAGTATACTGAACATAAAATTTTTCATCTGTAGCCAGGCTAGGTGTGAATGAATGTATACATGAATGAAGCAAAACAAGACATTCATAAAGAAAACATCTTTTCCAGTCCCCATGACTCCATTCTTTCAACTAAGAGAAAAGTAATTACTGCCTCAAATGACAGCCATATTAAACCACATCATACACACTAAAAGTTGGTGTAGGATTCTAGCTCCTTCACCCCTTACAAAACCAAGTCTGTGATAGGAATAATTAAACCAGCATGTATATAAAAATGTTTATAAACCTTTTTGAGTTTTATTTTCATAAAATACACTCACATTGTAAGGAAAGGTACAAGGCTACAATAAACATCTATACTTAGTTTTAGAAACTGCCGAAGAATTGAAAATGAAAGAAGAAATGGCAGATATATGATCATCTTTACCTGCAAAAGGAGATTTCAACATGGGGCTGTCCTCTATAATTGTACATTCTTGCATCTTCTGTCTATGCCTTTGCTTGTCCTGCTGCACAAACTCTGTGGGACAGATGGAATCTGCAGGATTTACCGCATCTGACTGTGTGGTCCGAGCATCGCCTGTGCGTTCAGAAGAGCAGAGCGGGCCTTCAGAGCACTGCTCTGCTTTCATTAGGTTACTGCCAGATGATACTTTCAAACCGACATCAGGAAACTTCAGAACAGCAGAGTCTGCCTCACCAAAACTCAAGGCATTTGATATAACAAAGTCATCATCCTCAGGGATGGGGTTGTACCATATTTCTCCTTCATCATCTGCATCATTTTCCTCATTAAAGTCTAATGAACAGTTTCTTGATAATGAAGAATTTGTAGCATTACACACCATATACGTACAATATCCTTCAGATGATTTGAGAAAAGGTTGTGACAGCTGCTGTTTAGGTAGAGAAATAGGTGAAACAGATAAATGACTTATATCTTGGCATTTCTTATTTTCTTCTTCCAAATTAAAAGATCTCAGAGTACTTTGATATAGCCAATTGCGTTTCTTTGACACAGTGATGCTGTTAAGTGGCTGATGACCCCTGAAGCCAATATTATCCTTCAGATCTTCGAGTTCATTTCTCTTCATTGAAGATTCATAGACATTTTCAAATAAATCTGTTTCAAAGAAAAAAAAGAAGGTAGAATATAATACTTGGCATACCAAGAAAGAATGTCACTAAAGACCAGTTATTAAAATACTGTTTTTAAAAATATAAGAAGAAAGAAAAGTGCAATATTAATCACATTCAGAGACTAAACTTAAATAAGAAAAATTTTGAATTTCTATTATTTAGTTATCAGGTACCATAAGAATTCTTAAGAAAAACGATAAACAAGCTCTGAAACTACCTTTATAAATATCATAGGGCTAAAACAGCTTTATCCTAAGCAAAACATGTTTTATAAAAAGCTTGTATAGAATACTTCATACACAGCATGCCTTTAATTAATATGAGGAACTTTCAACTCACTACTACAAGAACTTTAGAAACTACAAAGTAATATTATTACCTTTCACACAAAGATTAACTTTGAAAAAATCTTTCAAAATAAATGTACCTCATTTATTACTAAGTGTCTTACTGATTATTGAAATTTCAAAATAACATTAGTTTTCTAACCATATAATGCAGTAGCAACTCATACAGAGTTTAAGTTCTAAATATCTAGAGAAAAAATTAAAATTAAAAATACCTAAGAAGGCCCTTGATTAGGACTAAGTATCCTGCCTCACAATAAACACAACACAGCTATATTACTGATAGGCACAAGCTTAAGTAGCAAGAATACAGAATGAACAAAATGGTCCCTGCCCTTAAGGAATTCATAGCCCAATGTAGGACATCAAATACTTAGATTTGTGCATGTATTAATATAATGGATAAGACTCTAAAAATGTATATATAACATTAATTCCATATAAAGGGGAAAATTTTTACACTTCCAAAAAGTTACATAAAGCCAGCTTCAGTGACAGTAAATAAACTAAATATATATCGTAATGCTAATTTACTATGCATAAATAACTAAAACAGAACCATATTTCTAATTTTAAGATCATGCCAGGTTTGTAAATTATAATCTATGCTACTCTGAGTGCGTATGTGGTTGATTCATTTTAGTATTACAGCAAGTAAAATATAGTAGTCTAGTAACAGAGAGTGATAAAAACACATTAAACTTTGAGGAGCTTAACAACAACCAAAAAATTAGGTTCATGTATAATCAAGATTTTCAGTAACCTCCCTTCTACCGAAAAAAATCATTTGAAAATGTAAATTTGCCCTTTTTATAACTCTAAATGTCACCTAATCAAGCAGAATAATTTAAAAACAAAACAAAGCCTTAAACACAAACTGGGCTTCAAGTTCAATTAGTTCCAGAGGCAAGAATAGAGGAACAGACTTAGAATTAGAAGGGAAGAAATCTCCCATGAATGCCTACTATGTCAAATATTTATTTACTCAAGAAATATTTACTGAGAGCCTATTATGTGGCAGGAACAAGAAATAAAGCAATAAGAAAGACCTTAACCTCCTTTAACCTCCCACAATAATCTTGAGACAGGTTGAATTAGTTCCATAAGCTTCAAACATATGAAGAATATGGTCAAGGTGCTAGTCCTAGGATTCAGGTCTGTCTAACCTCAAAAACCATGCTCTCACCTGTCTCCCCCACAGCATGCCAGCTACTAAAAGTAGGGAAGTAAGGTGACCCTCTCTGAACATGATGATAGTATCAACCCAATTAACCTCATACCGTGGCTCCTAGGATTAAGTAAGGTAATGTTTGAAATATTTTGAAACTATATAGTACTACTCAGAAAAGTCAAGTAACTTGCCTGAGATCACCTACTGGTAAATGGAAGAGGCAGCACTCAAACCGATTACAAACTCTGCAGGACTACACCTGGATTACTACTAAAGGATACCTACTCTCCCAGAATCTAATACGCAAACATTTAATAGATATTCAATAGATATCTTGAATTGATTTAATTTACTTTAATCAATGAAACCTGAAGATTCAAGCGTTTGGTTCTGTCTCCTTTATACTTACAAAACTGAAGCAGAGGGATTCCCCTGGTGGTCCAGTGGTTAAGACACGGGTTCGATCCCTGGTTTGGGAAGATCTCACATGCCGAAGAGCAACTAAGATAACTACTGAGCCCACGTGCTGCAACTGCTGAAGCTTGTGAGCCTAGAGCCTGTGCTCCACAAGAGAAGCCACCACAATGAAAAGGCTGCTCATCACGAGTACAACAGTGAAGACCCAGCAGAGCCAAAAATAAATAAATAAAAATTAAAAAAAAAAAAAAACTGAAGCAGAAACAACTCAAGCGCTTTGCTCTAATAAAGGGGATAGTATAAGTATCAAGCACCAGAATAAAGTAGAATGCTTTTTCAAAACATTTAACAATATATCAAGATAGGTGATTGGAGGTACTGAAAATTCTAGAGCCTTACTATTCTAAAAGTGTGTACCAAATAACAACATCTATACTGGCAGTTTGTTAAAATGTAGAACCTCAAGGTCCCACCCTCACATATATTAAACCTTCATTTTAACAAGATTTCATATGCACATTAAGTTTGAAAAGCTCTGCTCTATAACAGTGAACTACAGTCTGAGTGATAAAGGTCTGGAAAATAGTCTTAAGAGATTCTCAAAGCATTAAGCACCATTTACAAATGTAGAACTTTCAAAAATCAACACAACACTGTTTTCTGCTGAATTTGTAATTCTTAGTGTTTTCCTGCCACCAGCAACTCTGATGTTTTATGGCACTGTTCCAAAACAAAAAAACAGAAACTAAAAAATGGACCTGCTTGCTTCTGGGGCCACGATGGCAGAATTTCTAACAGAAGGATTTAGATGTAGAAGACAGACAAAAATTACTTGCCTACATAGTTTTACTAGTCTTGAAAGGGCTAATGCATAAAATAATTTATTGGAAAAACCCATAAAGAAAATATAGCTCATAAAGTTACAAAAATGGAGCTACAAATATTTCAGAAAACAGAATTGGTAGGAATCTGCACTAAATATCAACTTCAATTTAAGATATAATGCACAAGATCATACCAGTTATTTAATACTACTTGTTACATGCCCTAATTTTTCTTCTTTCACAGATCACAGAACAAGAGTAGAAAGTAGGCTAATTGTTTTTTAAAGCAGTAAAAGGCCAAGCTAGCTCAAGTTGGTGCTCAACTTGGAAAATAAACATTTTCATTTATTTCTGAGTACTATCTGCTAATTAAATTTATAAAGATTTATAATGAAGTATAGTCAGTAAACAGATTAAAATTCCCTTAACAATATTAACAGAAACTTAATATTTACTATGGAATGACTTTAGATTTCTTAAATAATCATCTCAACTAGTAACAAACTGGCCAATGTGTGAACACCACATTCTGTATCAAATCATTGGCAGCATTATAATATCAAAAATTTTAATGGTTCTTAATAGGAGCCAGAAATCAAAACAGAAAACCACTTTGGCTTCCATTTGTCATATGGTCTCAAAAATTTCCAAAACACCTATGTAGACTAGGTATCTCTATCCCCCTATATAGTTGTTTTGTGTTATAAATTCTAACTATAACTGTATTTTGGAAGAAAATATCCTCACAAATCATATTGTATAGCAAATGTGATAGAAACCTTTAGGCTATTTAACCTCTTTATACAATCAAGAATGTACTGCTTCATCAGGACTGCCTGGTTAATTTTTTAGAAAACATGATTAAAAACAGAATCCAAGTAACCAATTTGAACTAATTAAAGGTAAAAGTGTAAAGTGGATACAGCAATTGATTGTATTCTAGGAGTCCCTCAACTTCTTTGCAACTTTGAGGAAGTTACTTATTTCCCATCTCCTCAATCAATTTAATAGAATTAATTAGATCAAACCTCTAAGGAAATTTCGAGTCCCTTTGCTTGCCGTGTGTGCTCAGTCACTCAGTCATCCTACTCTTTGCAACCCCGTGGACTGTAGCCTGCCAGGTTCCTCTGTCCATGGACTTCTCCAGGCAAGAATACAGGAGTGAGTGTCATTTCCTTCTCCAGGGGATCTTCCCGACCCAGGGATGCAATCCAGGTCTCTTGAACTGCAGGCAGATTTCTTACCACTGAGATGTGGGGGAAGTCCATAAAGTCCCTTTGACCTTATATAAATAGGGATTTTGGAGTTATAAAGACTTGAGTTTGAATCCACATAATAGTTTGGACCTATATACTAGTATACATAAACCATATACTAGTTTAAGTGACCTTGGGTAAAGTACTTAACCTCTTATTTTCTTTTGCTGTTGCTGTTCTATAATAGCTGTCATACCTTCATGTGGTGGGGGTGGGCGGGGGGTGGTGAGGGGATGGAGGTGTAATAAAGATTATATGCAGACCCTATAAAGTATCCAGAATGTTTTTAGTAAATTCAACTAACCATCATAAAAAGCAATTTTTTAAAAAAGACTAAACTCTACAAATCTATACTAGATATATAAACATTGCATAAAGTATTTTTAATCTTTCCTAAAAGATAAACTAATGATTTGAAAGGAAACAACATCTGAACATCTGAGTAAGTTTTTTAAACCAGAGGTTACCTAAACTTTTGTTTAGGTTTCTTGTGAAATATCTAATTTACACATAGTAAATATCTAATTTATACAGAGAATCACATAGTAATTCTAATGTCATTTATTTTAAAATTAATTTCATTCACTTAGTTTCTCAATGAAAAAAAGTCAATGAATTCATTCTTAAAAGTTACTGCATTTATTATTACTTTTAAAAAACTTGAATTTTTCCATAACAGCTGATAATATTAAAAGCCATCAGATAGTAATGTTTAACCTTTGCAACAAAAGGGTAATACATATTTTACTGAAGTTTTATACAGATTTTTGTTATGGCTAAAAATTAACTGTCTTACAAAGAGTTAACTGTACCAAAATCAGTGGAGGACAACAATAAAATATAATAAATGATTACAAATACTTTACTACTGGAAATACATATTTTAAAATGAACTTAGCATAAAGTACATCTCTCTTCACAAAAATCTGCATTCTACTATCTTTTTATTTAGGTGGAATGGAAAAAGTTTGAGAGAAAATTTTGACAGGTGTGGGTTAGAACTTCATAGATTCAAACGAACTTTTCTAGTTTTGCATACACTTGAAGTGAATCATTTGACTTGTCTTCATTGTGTAATAAAAAGTTTTGTGAACTTTGTTTCTCCCCAGTTTTGTGTTTATTGGTTAAAAAAGTTAATGTGTACAAACCTAGCCCTGTAGGATTTGTAATTCTTACCAGGGAAACAGCCAAGTACTGTGAATACTTTTACATTTCAGCATTTAATATTTTTTTAATTATTACTAATATGTAAGTCATTATGTTCACTAGAAGTCTTTAAGACTGTAATCCAAAAGATCATGTTGTTTTTGGCTCAGTTTGAAGGTACTTCTTTCACAATAGAATTTTTTGTTATTGACAACTTCAGAGATTTCTAGAATTGATAATGTAAACCTTCAGTGAAAACTAAAAATCACATATACAAAACAAGGAGCAAAATCCTATTATTAGGACAAATATACTTTTTACAAATGACTTTAAATGCCTACACTTTCCTTAAAAGTACATAACACGTACTTTTCTTTTGATTAAAATCCAAGTGCCCTTCATTTTCCACAATAATAAGATTATCTAGAGCTAGGTTTGGGGGTTAGGGAGGGGAGGGAAAGGTGAAGAGAAGCAACAAGTGAAATCCTACCCGACTTAAAAAATTTTTTTACTATGATAGTTTTTCCGGTTTACTTTGGCTTTGGGTTTTGGTTGTGTGTATGTCTGTGTGCACGAACGCTCCTACGGTGGGGGTGAGAAAGCTCCTTTGGATGAGGAGGTGTAATGACTAAAATGACAGTTTAAAAAGCCCATAAAGTCTAACTTGGATCAAATTCAAATTCACAAACTCCACAAAAGTCTACAGTTCGCCTAGAGCTACAAAGAATAAAAATCAAGGCAGCACCGCCCAACTCTTAAATCCACTAAAAAGTGTGTGGTGAACTTAACCTTTACTCATTGTTGCGCTTAGGAGGAGGTACACTGGTTCTTAGAGAAGAAAACACAAAAACCCCAAGTTCCTCATGCCACTGTCAAAAAAAAAAAAAAAAGAAAGAAAGAAAGAAAGAAAAGCAAAAAACAACAGAATGTATGATCCTAGGTAACCGGGAAATCGTATTAGGCTGCCATTGACATGACACTCACTTTGGCACGGGCACGTACCTGTCTGCAAAACCATAACCTCCTTCTTCGCTCTAAAACCGAAGCCCGCTCGGTAAACTCAAAGGCTCAAAGAGTTAGCATGTTGATTGCAAGGCATCCTACCTGTCAGCGTAATTCTTTGGTCTGGAGGCACCGACAGGACCTGACTTTCCCGCATTTTCAAAGCGCCCAGATTTGGAGAGGTTGCCTGAGCATCCGTGCCATCGGGGGGTGTCCTACGGGCGCGACCCTTCATTCCCAAGGACAGCAGACGTCCTTTGTACATCCACTTCTGCAGCTTCTTGACTGTCACCGCGGGCGGCCTGAGGAAGGGGAGCCCCTCCTGGCCGTCCCCTTTGCCGTGGCTTCCCGTGGAGCGGCCGGGGTCCTGGGAGCTGGGAAGCCGGGGGCCCGCGGGCGACGCGGCCCGGGCGCTGCCTCCGCTCCAGCCGTCCATCCCGCCTCCACGTGGCGGGGGCTCCTCCGCTTCCCCGCGCGTACCGCACCAGATCCAGCTGTCGCTCGGCCACCGCTGGAAGGGAGGCGTTTTGGCACCCACCTGGAGGCTGTCGAGACTTCTGCTGCAGGACAGCCGCATCCGAGGAGTCCGTGGGCGGCCTCCCCCCGACTCCCCAGGAGGCGACCGGGGCGGGGACACCTGCTGCCAAGGGCGGCTGCCGCCTCCGCGCTCCCAGTCTCGGGGGCAGGCTCGGCCGTCCGCCGCGCCGCAGGGGGAAGGCGGCTGGCCCGGAGCCCGGGCTCCCGCAGGGCAACCGCGATCTGCCCAGCTCCGGTCGCCCCGCCGCGCGCCGAAGTCAGGGGGCAGGTCGTGCATGGCCTGGATCAGCAGATAATAGGCCTCTCGCAACTGGGTCTGCAGCCTGCCTGTCTCCAAGCGGCCGCCCTCCGCCCCCGGGGAGGAGCCCACGGCCAGGGGAGGCGGGGGCCACCGCTCCGCCTCCGCCCCCTCAGGCTGGGACGTAGGCTGGAAGCCTCCGGGCAGGTTCTCGTAGTAGTCGGCGTCGTCCTCCTCGTCCTCTCCGCTGCCCTCGGAGCCCGGCGGGGCGTACAGCCCGCGGCCCGGGGGGGTGGCCTCCTTCCAGCCGCGCGGCGGAGGCCCAAGCGCCCCCGACCTCTCCGGCCGCCCTCCCGGGACCCCAGCCTCAGGACCCCACGCCTGAGGCGACGGCGGGGGCCGTTCCAGGTTCGGCCGAGCTCCGCTGGCGCGCTCGCCTGAGGGGGCGTCCCGGGCACCACTCGTGTCTCCCTCGGCAGCCGAAGAGGCCGCCACGGTGGCTGCTGTGGCCGCCCGGAGACCGAGCCCCCCGGTGGCGTGGGGACCCCGTCTTCCCCGGAGCCTGGACAGCGTTTTCCTCAGAGGGTCCGTCATCCCCCTCCGCCTCAGCAGTCAGGCTCGCTCCCGGTGCGGGGAGAAGTCGGAGCCCCGCTCGCGAGAAAGCTGCGCTCGCGGAGGCGGCGGCGGCGGCGGCGGCTCCCCATGACCGACGCTGGCCCTCGCGGGCTCCTCACATACTTGGCATAACTCTGCCGCTGCATGGGTGGGGGAGGGCGGCGCCGCTGCAGAGCGCATGCCCCGCAGCTCCGGGCTGCGAAGGGGCGCGCGGGCTGCTGCTGCGGCGCTGAGTTCCCCAGGTGGGCGCCCCGCGCCGGGCGAGGCGAGGCGCAGGGCGGGGAGGGACGTGGGTGAGAGCTAAAAGACCGACGGATGGGAAAGTGTACGCGTCGTGGGGACTGGGGCGGGGGGGGGGGGGTACAGTGAGAGTCGAGGCGGGAAAAATAGGAAGCGGGAAGGTGAGTCTGAGCGGGAAGCTGCAAAATTCTGGTTGGGGAGACAGAGAAAGGGAAAGTGCCCTCCAGGCTGCCACTCCGTCACCTTCACCCCCCACCCCACCCCCCATTGCCACCATGGCACGAGGCGTGTCTAATAATGCAAGTCCTAGCTTGAGAGAAAACAAAGATTGTTTTGACGGACAAGGTATGAGTACAGGTGTATCTCAGTGCAGTGTGTTCTAGAAACATTCTGAATCATTTTACTTGTACAGGGAGCTGGCTAGTTCAAGGAAATTTGCAGCGATTCCTTTTCAGTGAGGAACATCTTTTTGTCCCAAAGATCACCATTGGTGTCTCTCTTTACAGGCTGTTTGTCTTCGGTTAAGGCATACTAAAACAAAATTAATTCTGGCATAAACCAAAACTTGCTGAAAAGAGCCGCTAGTCTCCCCATCCCCTACCTAACACTTGTTTTCATGAGAACTGGGGTGAGAAACAACTGGGATGAAATTTAGAAGCAATATTATTTGGAAATACCAACTCTCTCTCAAAAGCATTAAAATCCATGTTCTGTGCAACAGCTGTAAAATACCTTGTGTTGCCACAGATCGGTGGACATGTCTGTGGTTGATAAAAATCAATGTGATTTAAGGATTAAACTTTTTAGCGTTTATATGTTAGACAGGGCCTTTGAGTACCTCATAAATATACTACTAATGCCCAACTTGCACCAAGTAAGTACTCAAATATTTTTGAATAAATGAATGCTTGCATAATTCGATAAAAATTTAGCTCTAACTTACCCTGTGTTCAACGATATATCTCTATGTAAGTTCCCTTTTCTTTCTACAAGTCAAAAGCTCTAGCCTCTAGGTGTGGTTTTATCTATAGTACCTTAGTACATAGTCTACCTAGTCTCTGCATCCTGGAATAATTTTACCTGCATCTCTTTTCAGAAATCTTAACCATCCTTTAAGACTCCACTTAGCTGTCTTCTTCATGAAGTCATCTCTGATCTTCCGCATGGACATAGTCTCTCTTCCTCCAAACTCTCCCATAGTACTTTGTTCATACCCACTCATAGTATGTTTATTATTTTTTGTTTTATACAAAGTGTACACTGTCTCCCGTACAAGAAAATTCATAAATTCCTTGAGGGAAGAAACTACTTATAATTGACTTTTGTATTCTTCATAGAGTATAACATCTTATACACGGCACATGAAGAATTAATATTTTAAATCTAATGTCAACTTTAATTTGAAGGAAACAACTGACATTAATTTCCAGTCTATTGCCTAACGCTCCACTAGACCATACTCTATTGGTGTTGTTTCAAAATCTTTCAGTGATGTGTAAGAACATAATTTATTAAATAATCTTAATTCTCATCTAGGAAAATACAATGAAATGTTATACTGTAATTCACATACATTACCATTTATAGTTCTACCCTATTTTTATTTCATGGAACCAAAGCTATTTAATGAATAATCAAGGCATAAAATTATGTTCCAGTGAAATATTCCCACAGGAAATGACTATGGTAAAGCTGCCAGTGATATCTATAAACACAATTTGATCTCTATCTCAAAAATTGTTTGCATTCCAACTCTTGGTTGCAAAATCTTTTTATTCTTTGTAGTTAACACAGTTGTTAAGAATACTGTAAGTTTCAAATCTATATTGAAATGAATAGAAAAATATAACCTGGAAGGTCTTGGTTGAACTTCAGTTTTAATTCAACTTGTCAACTTGTTGGCTTCAAGAATTATAAAACATACTGGCTAGTATAAAATATTGTGCATTGTTCTAAGCATTACTCAGAACTAAGTCTGATGCTGGACGGCATAACTAAACTTAAAGGTGAGAGTGTTCTATCATATAAGTTCACAATTTTTAGCAAGTATTTTGGGTCACAACAGAAATGAAGGCAGTCACAGCTATGTGACACTAGTGACTTAGAAATGCAAATCCCACTTTTCTATATGTACATCAACACTTCAATAGGAAGTTTATAAAAATGTAATTCCAAAAAGACAGCGCCCACAAAACTTACATTATATCTAATTGATAGTGACAAGCTATGAACATCAGCTATATTGTGTAAAATCTTTTTGTGTTTTAACAATTTCTACCCTATTCCCCCAGTTAGCTCAATTTTCATGCATTTCTAATAAACATATTCTTATGAAAAGGAGGTGGGGAAGGAGGTGGGGGTAAGTTTTCTAGTGTTTGTACTTGTTTCTCACTGACTTGGAAATTATTTTGATGCCCCGTGAATTAGCAACTATGTGTCGGCTCTCTCACAAAAGATAAAAAATAACTATGGGATCACAGGGCTCTAGCAAGGCAAGGAGGCAAACTAGAGATGGGGTCATACCAACTCAGTCCAGGAAAATGTGGGGGGAGCAGGGCAGGTTGAGGCAGAGGCTAAGTTTAACAGCAATAGAAGGGAAATATCTAGGTATCTTATGGTTATTTAACAGGCAATTTAGGGTGTGTTTCAGTCTCTTTGCTGCTTTGTCTTTCATTTTTGGAACCAAAGGCAAGTTGTTTTTTTTTTAGTTTATTTATTTGGCTGTGCGCGTCTTAGTTGTGGCACATGGGATCTGCAGTCTTCCTTGCAGCATGCAACATCTTTAGTTGAGGTCTGCAAACTCTTAGTTACAGCATGTGGGATCTAGTTCCCTGACCAGGGATTGAACCTGGGCCCTCTGAGTTGGGAGTATGGAATCTTAGCCACTGGACCACCAGGGAAGTCCCCAAAGGCAAGTTTAATTTGTTATTTGCCCAAATCCCTCTCTCTCTCTAAACTGCCTTATGGGGATCCTCTGGTCTGCCATGCAGTTCCATAAATAATTGAGTAAAAAGTACTTCAGCCTAAAGCTGACTACATCACCATTGCCCTGGGAATCAAAGATGGCATGTCATCAATATAGCAATTTTTATGTTAATGTTTTCATAACTAGGCATATCTGGCAATTGGCAATATTCCTTACCTTATCCCCTACCCCCAAAGAAAGTAATTAAAAAGAGGCCTTTGCTAAGTACATATGTATTTTCTAATATTTAGAAGTTTATAATGTTTTAGAATATTCACTATTTCAGATTCTCTTGTTATATATTTGGGATATGAAGAGTAACTTGCTCAAGGTCACCATAATAAGTGAAGGGGAATTCAGACTCCATCTGTCTGGTTCCAAAACCTCTGCACCCTGGGATATTTCCTTGTGCAGAGAAAGAGAGTAGACATTTTCTACTTGAACTGACTTGAAACATTGTTGTCATAAATTAGTTAGTCACCTTTCAGAAAAGTTTTTAATATTTTATGAGCTTTTCTGAAATTCAGCTGAACACTGGAAAGCTGCTTGTTGAACACTTGAAATACTTCTATATACAGTCCTCTTCAAGGGTGTTAGAACCAAATCCTATAATATATTCCCATTTAACTGTTAAGTATTAAGCCACAATGTGAAACTGTATCCTGTAAATGTAGTCTAATTTTAAAAGTAGGACAAGCTACAATTAAATACTTTAAAGGCAAAATATATGCATCCTTAAAACCACAAGAGCTCTCAGATAAGCTCCTTGAAAAAGTGAACTGGTATAGCCTGTCTTTCCCAGCTGATTTGTGCCTCAGGGTATCCCATAGTTGAAGGGAATTTGCTTTTTTTTTTTTGCAGAGTTGTCAACCTAGTAACAAGATTTGATACAATATCAGCATTTTTACCTTAAAGGAATAATGGATCTACTTACTAATGGAGCTATAGATGGAGGTTCATAGCATTGTACAGCAGGCAGTGATCAAAACCATACCCAAGAAAAAGAAATGGAAAAAGGCAAAATGATTGTCTGAGGAGGCCTTACAAATAGCTAAGAAGAGAAGTGAAAAGCAAAGGAGAAAAGAAAAGATATACCCATCTGAATGCAGAGTTCCAAAAAATAGCAAGGAGAGATAAGAAAGCCTTCCTCAGTGATCAATGCAAAGAAATAGAGGAAAAATAGAATAGGATGGGAATAGAATGGGAAAGACTAGAGATCTCTTCAAGAAAATTAGAGATACCAAGGGAACATTTCATGCAAAGATGGCACAATAAAGGACAGAAACAGTATGGACCTAACAGAAGCAGAAGATATCAAGAAAAGGTGTCAAGAATATGTGGAATAACTACACAGAAAAAGGTCTTAATGACTTGGATAAACTACAATGGTGTGATCAACTCACCTAGAGCCAGACATCCTAGAGTGCAAAGTCAAGTGGGCATTAGGAAGCATCACTACGAACAAAGCTAGTGGAGGTGAAGGAATTCCAGCTGAGCTATTTCAAAGCCCAAAGGATGGTGCTATTACAGTGCTGCACTCAATATGCCAGCAAGTTTGGAAAACTCAGCAGTGGCTGCAGGACTGGAAAAGGTCAGTTTTTATTCCAATCCCAAAGGGCAATGCCAGAGAATGTTCAAACTACTGCACAATTGCACTCATTTCACCTACTAGCAAGGTAATGTTCAAGATCCTGCAAGCTAGTCTTCAAAAATATGTGAACCAAGAACTTCCAGATGTTTAAACTGGATTTAGAAAAGGCAGAGGAACCAAATT